TGAGCCTTCCAGGATCATTTTAAACTGGGGCGATTCCACAGATGTCACCAAAATTAAATAGTTAACATAAAAATACAGCTATTACCAAAGATTAAATTTACAAAATTAAATATACTTCACTAAAATTTTATGTAACATAGTAAAATATTTACTTAGTTTGTTTAAAAGGGGACCTACGCATGTTTTTGTACTTTCATTTTTGTCTCTGTTGCTTTTATAAATAACCCAGCTGTTTTTTAGCAATGAGTTAAATGTTTTTGGTGTCTGGAAAATGAGTTATTTCAAAAACTTTCCGATTGTTAAGTCACATTTGATGGGCACTGTGGTGTTACTTAGCAACCCTAGTTGAAGCCCAGTCCATTACCTAGGAACCCAATCTGAGTACCAGCATGTTTGGTCAGCTGGTTTTACCGCTGTGTAATGGCTGCTGAAAACCACAAGCACTTTGTTGTTGACTTACCATCCAGAAACCACTGAAGCTCTCTGGACCACACTGTCCAGACAGCTTCAAGTCCTCTTGTTGGTTGTAAAGGAGGCCCTACTAATGCTTGTCAAAGATGAACGGTTGCATAATTGCTCATCTGTTTGCAGCCATTTTCAGGTGTGGGTGTTAATGTTAAGTTTATACAGCAGCTTATTTGGATTTAAAGCAACAAGAGGCCCTAAAACAACCCATAGCAGATTAAAATCTTATCTAAAAATGATTTTGAGCAAAAAAGTGTGATGTTTTGTATAACCAATAGACAGAACCTAATTTGTTCAACGAAGCATAGTAGGTTACCTTTAAATTTACAAAATAAAACATACTTGTCTAAGATTTGATGTAAGATGTTAAATATTTACTTACAGTTAGTTTTAAAGTTAGAACAACAAACCTTGATGAGCTGAAATTATATCTATACTTTAAAAGTGACTGAAATGAGTTTTTACAGTGTGCTAACTGTTTCACAGCCGTGCAGACTTTTGCGCTGCAGGTTTAGGAGCTTCACTGCTTACAGACACATATAGTATGTGGCTGAACTGGGCCTGAACTGGACCTGCTCCCTGCACTGACCACACTGTCCAGACAGCTTCAGGTCCTCATTAGCTGCTTTCCTTCTGCAAACATCTCCTCTCACCGCATTAATATTCCTGCCTTGTGTTTATTTTCTTTAATGATACCGGGGCAATTTGGCCTGTAATTTGCTGCAGCCTCATTTGCATATAAGTGTTTCCCCACCAGTATATTCCAGCTCTGAAGAGAGTAATTGTCCAGGCGAGCCAACCAGCTCCTCCTGTGAAGCTCAAACCTTCAAACATTTCATAGGTTGGATCTGCAACCAGCATTCCCCCCTCTGCTCTCTAATGTGTAACACATGGCGGACTGTACACCTGATAAAATACCTCAGGGGCTCTGCAGTTTGGAAAATCCTCAATTCGCCCTCTAAATAAAACAAACAATGGCCTCGCTAAATGTATAACACATGTCGGCTGAAGTATTTTTTGCGTCTCTTGACCTTTGGGTCCCCTCGCTGCTCATCCTCGTCGTCATCAGCGCAGGACAGTGTCAGGAGAGTCCATGAGCTGCTTCTCCCTGGTTCTCTGATCTTCATGTCTTTGTGGCTAAAAGCAGAGCTGGATGTGACATAAACATGTGGAGGTTTTGTTGAGCAGACAGGTGAAACGATGGGCACCTGCTCCTCTGCTCTGAGCCTCACTGTGTCTCCCCCTCTTGGCAGCTGCAAGGCAGCAAAGTCTGACCCCCACAGACACTCAAGATCAGGTTTCCTCTGGCCGAGCGTCGGCATGTTGGAGGTCGACCAACTGGACACTGGATAACAAATAATAACAAAATGTTGGAGTTTCGTGAACTGATTTCAATCATAGTCAGATTAACGTTTTAAAACTACAGTGCTGCATTCTAAAAAATAAAAATTTAACTTCTCACTCTCTCATTTCACTGTTGAGCAAATTAAAACTCCAGTGTAGATTTCTATGAATGTGCATAAAAGGAACCAGATCCCTTACTGTTGTGTTCTGTATTTTCTGTGTAGTTATTTTTGAGGTTTTCTGTGTTTAGCCCTGTCCCTGTCCTGTCTTCCATGTTGATTGCTTCCCAGGTGTGTCTCATTCCCTGATTTCCCTCCCTGCGTATTTAAGTCCACCTGTTGTCTTTGTCTCTTGTCAGGTCCTCGTCTAAAGTCAGTCTTGTTATCAGTAATTGTCTTAGTCGTCACAGTTGAACTGTATAGTCCTGTGATGGCGTTAGCTCTTGTATGTCAGTCTTATTGGTTTCAGTTGGTATCAAGCTGTTGCTTATTTCTCTGCCTTGCCGCCTGAACTGGACTGTTTGTGCTACTGTCAATTAAACCAATCATCATCATCATCGCCTCTCAGTCTGGGTCCTGCCTGCGTTCACTCTCACCACCTCCACCTCAACTCATGACAGTTATGGCTGATTTCTCTGGTGTGGATGACACTTTTGTGTGTTACCAAAAATAAATAAAAATGAAATATATAAAAGCATCTGAAATAAGTCAAACTTATTTTCATTTTGGGACAAATAATGATCCGAAATGTCAGAATACATGGATAAAACCATTCACAAACTGTTAAAAATGTAATAAATAACTGTTCCTGCAAGTTCCTAAAGCATTTCATATGTAAAATATGTTTTGCATATTTGTTGAAAGTGTCACTATGTCGCGTGGTATGAGAGAAAATGTGTGAAAAAATTACTAACACTTAATTTGAAGAGGGGTGCATAAGACCAACATGACACGGCCATAAACATGACATAACATGAACACAAAGGAGTCTTCATGAATATTTGATGTCATTATGTAAATAATAACATTTTTATGCAAAGTTGCACTAAAAGTTGCATTAAAAGCCCATTAAAAGTTAAACTTTGCATTAAAAGTCTCATTATGTACTGAATGGCAACAGTTTTAAAGAAATTAAGTCTTCTTCATGTTCATGTCATGGTTATGTCAGTGTCATGTGAATCTTTTCACACCCCTTCAAATAAAGTGCTTCCAAAAGCGTTAGCTCCTCTGCCTTCTCACTGTGCTAACTAGAAACAACCAATCAGAACCAGGAGGCGGGTCTTAGCGCTGTCAATTACAGACTCATGTGGCGCTGTTCCCACCTTGCTCTCTGCTATGCTGCAGCTAGCATAGCCTGTTCTGAATGATAAAGTTAACATAATCACCAATATCAGAAGATAAACGGTTTGTCTGTAGCAGTAAGTTGTCTCATTAGCACATTTAGCAGCAAGAACATGAGGATGATTGACAGTGGTAAGACCCGCCTCCTGTTTCTGATTGGTTGTTTTTGGTCGGGAGTGGAGCATTTCTTCAGACGGCTGTGGTATCGCAGGGAGGAGGTGGAGGAAATGTAACTTTTCACAGATTTTCTGGTCCACCTACAAACCTCGGTCTCAGTTCAGTTAAAGTGAACTCTGGTGCCATTCAAATGGTTATGTGAACATAAAGTGGACTGGAAACTTCTCCAAAAGCAGGAAGTGAACTATAGAGCAGGACATTCTAGGTAAAAACAACAAACTATAACAAACATGTGAGCCTAGAACTAGCGGGAGAAAAGGTTCGTGGTCCTTTACCCAAAACAAAAGAAAAATCCTGCAACCGCTAAAATCTGACACTACTTCATTTTAAACATTTTGTGAAGAAGCAAATTACATTCAGTGTCTTCAGACGTTTTCATGTTTCCTTCAGCAGTTCTTGGTATAAAACTCCCTTAGTCTCATCTAACCGCAGGTAAAGTCCAGGTTTACTGAACTCCACATGTTTTTGTTTGTGATTGTAGGACAGTGAAATTCTTTTCCTGGTGTATCTGGACAGCAAGTTGGCGAGTCATCCAATGGACGCCAAGGAGTTTGCCGTTCTCTAACCTTTGACCTTTTCTACCCCTTCTCTCTGTGGTTGATCGTCTGCATTTATTTTCAGCCTTGTTAGTCTCAGTTAAAGTCGATTTAACCTTTTTAATTATTGTTCTGACCATTGATATGTGGAGTTTTAGGCTGGAAGCCATTAACTAATCTTTGATGATCAACATTTATCTTATTAACTTATGCTCTGCTGTCTTACCCATTTTGAGGAGTTTTTTCAGTTCAGCACAGAAACACAGAACAAACAGCAATGTGCACACATTCACACCAAAGGGGAATTTAGAGAGAAAAATTAACCTACCACTGTTTTTTGTTTTTGGACTGAGGGGGGAAGCTGGAGTATCCAGAGGGAACACAGGAACTCCATGGACAGACTTCAAACCCAAGCAGCCAGAGCAATAAAATCTAAAACAAAAAAGTTTTAGTTGCATTCATCATCGATGGATTTTTTTGAGGTGGCACCAATAAAAGAAAACAACAACAATTACTCCTTGAATGCATCACAAAACAGAATAAACTAAAAACATTCACTGACTTCAGGGAAACTTCTTTTTAACTTCACCTTATAAATTAAAGTGGACGTAATTTTGCAAGAACAAAATAACACACCAGATGTTTAAATGTGTTCTGTGCCAATTGATTACGTTTTGAAAATCTGTTTTTATTTATTTATGTTCACTCTGACCTTTCAACGTACTTCTATAAACCCGTCTGGAACACTGAACCCAAAGTTGCAACAAGAAATTTTTTTTTTGTTTTTTTTTGAGAGTTGTGGGGAGAAAGTTCAAGTTTCTTCCTGGTGAATTTTATTTTCTGACATCTTGACCTGCCTTTAGACAAAAATCTTACAGGTTTTAAGCAGAATTGGAGACACACCTGTACTTCATTAGCCTGTTTGAAAACAGGTAACAACAAAATCTAAACAAAGAAGCAGGAAAAATTATCAATCTAGTTCATAAACTCATCTACGCAATTAAATGGTCTGTAAAATAAAACATTTAATACAAGGTAACTTTAAAGAAAATAAATAACACGATATAAAAACGAAAAACCTCCATTTTGTTTTATCCGGTGACGCAATCAGTGACATCATAACCAAAACAGGAAGTGCCGGACCGGCCGCTCCTATTAAACACGTTCAGGCTGTAGCGTCTAAAGAGACGAACAACGGTGAGCATAAAAGAAACAAACATAAGTAATTTACTAAAAATGAACCTATTAAACCAAAGAAACATTCAAATTAGCGTTAAAAAACAACAATGGATGTAAACTGCAACCTAATGCTTCCACAAATAAACCGGCGAGTGAAGGAAAGTTGCAACAGCAATGTTTAAACTGAAGAATTATTAAATAAATTATAAATGTTTTTAAAATGTGTAAAATCGACTTTTTTGAGCTTTACATCATGTTATAATGTTGTCTTTCATCCTGACTTGATTCTTTCATGTTTGAGAAATCCTTTAATCTCCATGGCAACCATTTTGAGCTGTTCGCTAAAAATGTTAAAGGGTTAATAGAGTAGCGGTGTTGTGATGACTTCCTGAAGGCGGAGTTTCTGTAGTTTTTAAAGAGACAGAGGCCCAATTTCAAGACGTTAAATCACGAAGTAAAATATGTAAGTCATAGTTAATATATATATATATATATAGGTATATATATATATATATATATATATATATATATATATATATATATATATATATATATATATTTTTATAATTACTGACGTTAACATAGTTACTTGATTATGCTATTAAATGTCACTCTGTGCCTGGAAAACACAAAAACGATATGTGTTTATGATTTTGATGATGGCGCTCATCAAATGTAACGTTTGTTACTGGTTTTATCAATTTTATGATTTTGTGTTTTTATGATGTAAAGCACTTTGAACTGCCTTGTTACTGAAATGTGCTACACAAATAAGATTGATTAATTGACTGATAATATAGCCTCTAAGGGACAAGTGGTAAATAAATACAATCTGAACTATTCTGTCACGACACAAGCTGCGTTTCTATTAGAAACTTTGTAAATATTTTGCTAATAAAAAAACCCACACAATTTTACTATTGTGGTGTTTCCATTAAATAAGAAACAAAATTAAAATCACATAAATAACTTTCTTTAAGTGATAAGTTGTGAAAAAACATGATCTTCCAACCACTTCCTGTTTTCTTCTTCTTCATGGTTTCCGCCAGTAGTAACATCCTTTTGTTGATCATGTGACATGAAAAATGTGTTTCCATTGCAGTTTTGAAAAATAAATAAATCTCAATACTGCCAAAAAATCCACACACCTCGTCCTAGCGACAAAACAAGTTTTTCTGAAATTGCAGTTAAATGAATTTATTTTCAAAATGTCAAATTGCTCAAATTGAACCTGCTGTTCTTCACTTCAAGAGCTTCAACTTGAGTGTGACATGACTAATTTTCAAACAATAGTCTCAGAGGGGATTGTGTGTGGCTCTGCTGTGTGTTTGTGTCCGACCAGATGCTCTGTGGCCGCGTGACGGAGGGTATCAACCCATTCTCTGGACTTTCTGCAGGAAACAGCGATAAAACAGATCAATCTGTGGGTTTGTTCCAGCAGGCCGACTATCCTGCTTGTGGTCGGCAGCATTAAAGCGAACGCTGAGCACAAACAGCCGACTACAGACTCGGTTTAGCATGGTGAGCTTTGAAGCTGTAACCTCAGCCCAAGCTCATGTGCAGGATGTGAGATTTCTTTCTCTTTTTCCGCCGGCAAACAGATGTTCCTGAATCAGACGTCTTGAAAACGGAGCGGCCATGTGTCTGAAGCAGCAGGAAACGTCCTGACGCCTCAGAGAGCAGGAGGTTCAGCTGGTTGACGCGTCAATGATTGGTGGAGGTAATTCAGGTTGTGACATTCATTATGGGAAAATGAACAACTTAGCAGCTCCACAGAGAAACTAACCCAAATTACACCTGCTGATTGGTCACTCATAATGTTCTTTCTCTGAACCTCCAAGCTTAGACATTGCAGGACAAAAAGACGGTGAGGTGGAGATTCACTGTTATTAGTAAAAAGAGGAGGAGAAGGCCTCGAAATGATTTAATCTTTTATTGGACTAGCATGACCTCACACTGAAACGATTAAAAAAAAGTGCTTTCAGCTTCAAATAAATATCTTGTTAATCGCTGCCATATTTGACAGTAATCTGTTTTCCCAGAGGGAGTCTCTCCAGACCAGAGGGGGACAAACTTTTTACCTCAAGGGACAAAACTGACAAGTTCAAAGTGATTTAGGACAAAAAACTATTTTTAAATATTTTTAAGGAATTTTTTAATGAAAAATTGCAAAAAGATTCATAAATGTTTCATTTTAAATGCACAACTAACACATAATTTTATTAGATAATAGAAGTCCTTGTTCAAAAAACATTTAGATGATTTCTCTGGATTTCCATAAAACTGTACAACAGCTGAAACACTGAGACTAAAACCCACCTGGTTAGAGTTGCTTTTCCACCATAATTAATGAAACACAAACCAACATTTTGATGTGTAATTATGGCAAAAATGTCACGTTTCAATCTTTGACATGACATTTTTGTGATGTAAAGCTGTTTGAACTCCTTGTTGCTGAAATGTTAAAAATGTAATTTGATCATCTTGGTTTTTTTCTTCAAAAACTTTTGGTTTATTTAGTGTAGTTTGCTAAAAGTTCTTGAGTAAAAGTCAGTGAATATTTACTAACTAAATTGAATTAATTTGGTATTTTATTTTGTAACTTCCATGTTTTGGAGGCTTTAATTTGTCTTTCTTGAAAATTTCACCGTAAAATTTGTTTAACTTCATCAACGCCGTTAAACCTGGAGCTGGAAAACAAGTTTGTGCCAGTTTTGTATTTTGGTTGAGGGTTGCTCAAAATCACTTGCAGGGCCAGAAATGGCCCCCAAGCTGCACGTTGAACACCCCTGCTGTTGACGAGTCGAAGGATGCCACATCATTTATTTATCTGATGGAATATTTCTGTGTTGATTTGGTCATTTTACCGCTGAAAGTCCCAAATACATGTCAGTTTTTTTCAGTTTTCCACCAGATTGAAACATTTCGTAGAAAAATTACCCAGAATTCCAAAGATTTAATGGATGATCAACATTCCCACAGCATCACGGATCCTCTGCCATGCTTAGCAGTGATGATGAGGTGCTTTTCTGTCTTACTCCAAACTCACACGGCGTCCATCAGCGATCGGCTCAGTCTGACCAAAACACAGCTGCTGTAATGTGATGGGAGGACAGAACATCATCTTTATTTTATAGAGGCTGTAGTGATGCATCCCACAATGCATTGCACCACCAGCAGCAGGAAATGGAGAAGGTGGATACAGGAAGTCGTTTTTTGAAACAATTTAATTTGGGCCAAAAAATTAGTTTTATGATGTTTAAGATGAGAAAGTAAACGCTTCATGTGTCGGATCTTCATCCGAGTTCCATTTAATTTAAACTTTTTACATAAATTGGACTTTAACAGCATGTTCTCATGTGTTTCCTGTTTTTAAGCCTGTTTTCATTTCCTATTTATAACCCAAGGAAAACAAGAATCTAGTGGATTACAACATAAACCTTCTTTAAGGTTCTGATAAAGAAAGATCTTTAACACATTTTTATTCATATCACAATTAAAATAAATACAATTACTCATGTCAAAGAAAGAAAAGAAAATCTTAAATAATAAAACAACTCACTTCTAAGTCAATATGATAAAAAAACAAAACAAAAAAAGCTACAAAAAAATGCAAATTCTCCCAATTAGTGTAAAAAGAAAAGGAAGGACAGAAGAAATTTAGTTTTTTTAAAATTAAATTTTCAATGTTGCAATACTCATGTTACTATCAATTATCATTATTTTTAACAATTATTTCTCAAAATTGATTTTATTTTTCCACAGAATCAAGTTGGATTTCTCTAGATTTCTTGGTGTGAGCTCATACAGCAGGAACCAAATATGCATTTATTTTAGGCTTAACTTCAGAAGAGACACCAACAGTTGTAGACGGCACCAAAAATACCAAAATATTCCCACAACCAAACATTCATGCATTTTCAATTAATTGAGTGTAAATGTGAAATATTTAGGACGCTACTGTTGGAAATTGACTAATATAAACCTTCCCTCGCTTTCTAATCAGAAAACCTAGCTGGCAATAAAAGGTGAATTTATTTTACACATCTTTACCGGCGGTTTGCAGTGAGTGCTGCATCTGGAGCGATTTAAGCTTTGAAGTCTGACCAGGAGATGGTTAAAACCTCTCCAACATGGACATTTGTGCAGCACTCCATTATGCATTAAAGCTCCGCGCTTCACCTGGCTCTAACTGGTGCTAACTCTCACCAGTCCAGCATATAATTGCATGCAGTGTGAACATATGAACCCTAAATGCATGCAAACCCGCAGAAAGTGAGTGGCAGTCGGCTTTGAAGCCGAGCGCGATGTGCGATGGTCCACACACCTCCTCAAATGAATAATCTGGAGCAGCAGCCCCAATAAAACAGGGTGGGAAACATAAACGAGGTAATGTGTGTCTTCTCCCGCCAAATTACCGCTCAGGCTGAAGCCGCAGCCGCCGCCGCGTCCGCCGGCTGTCCTGTGTGTTTATAAGCGAGGTATAATGGTGGCAGAAGTGCTGCGGGTTGTTTTGTATTTGGAGGTGAAGACACGGCGAATCGCAGCCTTCACACATGAAAGGCAGCAGCAGGTCAATTTAATTCTCTGCCTCTCTTTCCTGGATCTCGCTGTCCTTTTAGAGCGACTCCAGAGGCTAGTTAAAAGGTGTCTGATTCTCACCATGAATCTAATTAGATCTCTGACGAAGGTCTTAACATCTCCTTTAAAAAAAGAAGTAGTACGGTTCTAAAGCACACACACACACACACACACACCTCCTCTCCTGTGCACCTTGGCCTGAGCTGTCCCTGGTTCGCTCCGTTTTTTGGAGGAAAACAAAGTCCTTCAGGCTAATGAAGTTTGTAATTAAGGAGATTCTGTCAGGCTGACTGAGTAATTAGGACGAGGTTTCTCAGGGGTGTTAATGGTGGTCAGGCTCAGCGGAGCTAAGGAGAGTTTCATACCTCACAAGGACAGGAAAGGCAGTAAAACTGGGCTGCTTTTGTCACTCTTTGCTTAAGTTGAATCTATTTTGATGGAAGACTTTGTCTGAAAAAATATCCACCAATCCTTGCAGTTTTTCTGGAAGATTAAACACATTTTAACATCAGTATCACCAGCTGCATCCACCACTGACTATGAATGCACAATTTGAATTTAAATTCGCTTAATGGAAAAAAGCCAATATTTTTACTGTGATGAGGTGTGTGATTTTTTGGGGGGTAGCATCTATATTGGTTTATGCCCAAACACTGCAATGGAAACGTTGTTTTCACAAGATCAACACCCGGATGAAACCACGAAGAAGAAGAAAACAGGAAGTAGATGCAGGTTGATGGGGCAGCGTGTTTTTAATGTCTTATCCAGGTGTGACTTTAATTTATTTTTAATGGAAACAAAGCAATTGAAAATTTGTGGTTTTTTGAGCAAAATACTGAACATTTTGAACAAATTTCTAATAGAAACTTTATTATTGTCCTCTTAGGGAAACTTTCCTTGCAGGAGGTGGGAAACGTTAAACACAGAAGCAATCACACAGCATTGATAAAGCAGTAAAAAGTCTAAGAAATTTCAGCACAAATATCAATAAAGTAGGTTTAATCTAATAATAGCAGCTTTTCCATTTGCCGGTTAGAATTGATACAAAATGTTTGCTAAGTGATAAAACTCTCCTGCTAAATCATGAATTAACTGTAATTGATCTCAGGTTTTGGGTTCAGCTAGCCAGTAAGCAGAGTCGATAACATGAAGAAGGCTAAACCATCTTCCATCATTTTCTGAAAAACTGTTCTGGGCATTTATATCCCTGCAAAAACACTAAATCTGACCAAGTATTTATGGTTTAATTCCTAGTGCAAATATCTCAGTTCACTTTAAATAAGACAAAACTTTCAGGTAACTTTTCAACAAGACATAGCAGCTTGTTTTCAGTAGGTAATTTCTTAATATTGATGAAAACGTTCTTGTTCCACTAACAGATTATTTCAGTTATTTCACAACCGTTACCTAGCAACGGTAGGCAAGCTCAGCCCGTCACCTAGCAACCAAGTTCTAGTTCCTCTGGCAGAAAACTTTACAAACAAGACATGTTTCCATGTTATGAATGAAATAATCTGCCAATGCGTATTCATATATTCCTCCTATCTTCTGGTTCTAGTGTTATGTGCTGAAGACAGACTCACTCAATAAAACAAATGATATTTATCATTAGTGATAGGGAAATTTAAGCGTTTTGCACCTCATGCATTCAACACTTCTTCTTGGTGTAATCTCATTTTAACAATAAATTTATGGACTAATTTAGTTTTACTGACATCCGGTGTCAATTTTCATACCATCAGCTGCATCAGAAATATATTTTGTAAGAGAAAACTGGCTGTACTATCAAAGAAAATTAAAAAATAAGAAGAACCATGAGTTTTAAAGCTCCCCCTTTTGTCCTTATTTTCAAATTGAAACTATTTCTCCTCCATTTTGACATTCCAGACATACTTGCGCGCAGTTTTATTCACATCTGCACATAAACGCATTTCCACACATGTAGATCTAAATAAACAGGCGTACAGACTCTCCAGCTAGGACAGTACATCTTGTTTAATGCTCTTTCTTTCCCTGAGAAATTCATGCAGAACATTTGCAGCCTCGTCAAAGATCAGAAACACATGGCGGTCGACGTTAAAACCGTTTAAGATGTCCATCTCGCTCGTCTCTTTCAGATTATGTTTATACATCTTAACAGGAAACACGGCTGCATCTTCAACATGACTAATTCAGCACAGATTTCTGATGCGTTATGAAATTTAGATGCAATCTGAAGCAAATGGCTGCGGGACCGGACCGCGCGCCGCGCTCGCTGAAGACATCTCCGTTCTAATTATCACATTTATTTCAGATTGGTTGACTGTGTGGCAGATAAAGAAAGTTCACCTGGCCTCAATTAACTATATTTATCTGAGATTATCCCTCCATGAGATTTGAGCTCTGGTAAAGAGGAAAAAAAAGATTAGCATTATTAGGAGTCGCATGTGCAGGATGAATACATTTCCAGACAAAGTGACAGCTCATAAGGAGGAGAAATTAAATCAGCGAAGGTGGAGAAAAAAAGGAAAGTAGCATGTGTCTTAAGCCTTATTAGCTGCACACATTTCTGCTTTTAAATCACTCTTTCCTTTCACCAACAAGGTGTTTTCATTTGAAAATTAAATCTGATAATAATCCACTATTAAATGTGTAAAAGTAAAAGGGAGCCTGAAGATCAAAGATACACTGCAAAACCACAAAATCTTACCAACCATCTCTGTCTAGTTTCTAGTGCAAATATCTTTTAGTTCACTGGAAATAAGACAAAACTCACAAGTAACTTTTCAGAAAGGAGAATGTTTCAAATCAATAATTCCTTTATGTTGATGAAAAAGAGGCAGATTATTTCACTTACAACATGGGGAAATGTTATAAGTAAAATAATCTGCCAATGAAACAAGTTTTTTTTATTAATATAAAGAAATTATTGACTTAAAACACCCTCCTAAATCTTGCTGAAAAGTTATTTATATGTTAGTTTTGTCTTATTTCAAGTATACTAAGATATTTTCATTAGAAACTAGAAACAAATACTTTTTTGTGTTTTGCAGTGTATAGTGTTTCTGTGTATTATCTGTTCATAAATAAATACAACATAGTTTATTTTACTTCTGTTTGTAGAAATAAAGGTTGATGAAGCAGTAAATTTTATTTCTAATGTTTTGGAAAAGAGCAGTTCTTACCTGATTGCTTCTTGATTTAGAAAAATAAACGTTACACTCATTAAAGTACAAAAAACAGTTAAATGAAAGAATATAACAAAAAAGATGGGAAACGCAAAGGAAATTTAGATTGTACTTTTGGTTTTGCTTCATTAAAAGTACATATGACCCATTTATTATTCAGTCTTGTTGATTCGTGGCTTAGAAAATGTTCCTATAAAAATAATTGAGTCAAGAAATCAAGCAATTTAGGAACCTCAAGTCAGAACCAGAGACCAGATCTGGGGAACCATAAATCCCCAAGATGGAAAAAGATTGTTTTTTCAAAGGAAGGAAGGAAGGAAGGAAGGAAGGAAGGAAGGAAGGAAGGAAGGAAGAGGAAAACTAAACCAACGTTCAACAAATTATCCAAAATAAAACTAATAAGTTTCTGTATTTATTCCAACTTTAGCAAAACAGATTTGAATTTTCTTAAAGCTAAAAGTAAAAATTCTCACAAATAATCAATCGCTTTATCAAAGTTGACAGTTTATATAAGAAACCATCAATTTAGTTATGACACAAACTTTACGTTTAGGAGTATTTTTACTGCGCTGTACTTTTTACTTTAATAACTTCAGTAATTTTATTATGAAGTTTCACTACTTTTCAGTAAAATGTCTGGATTTTCTACCTATTGAATGAAAACAAACATGTTAAACCGAAACCTCACCAGACTCAGACCTGCAGTTTCTGTTAAAGTTTCATAAGTTTTTTATGAAAGAAACTGATTTGGAAAAAATGTATTTATTTTCATATTTTGTATTTGTATGAATTATTGTTATTTTGATCTTGGAAATACCAAAATGTCCACATAATCTTATATTTTGGTCTCTCTGACGTTCTGATCAGTTGGTACTCGGGTCGCCTTTTTTCAGGATGTTGTAGTTTAATGTCACTTAAACTAAACTACATATAAAGCTGTAGTTTTAAGCTGGGTGTGGTTTGACGTGTTTAACCTGAGAAAATGTGTTGTATCCTCTGTCATGTTGTGTTTTATTGTCCTGTTTGCAGGTGGGACCTGGATGTGTCCTGCTGTGAGGCACAACACCTGGGATTTGAACCCGTGACCTCACTGTGAGTGCTGCTGATGAAGCCTCGCGGTCACCTGCAGGATCAGCGCCGACAGACAGACCCACAAGTCTTCATTTCCTGTTTCGCCTTAAACCAACTATTTCCAATCTTTGGGAAAAAAATGCTACCTGTTTTCAGGTAATATGATAAACAAACACAGAGGTCAGCAAAAGGTCAGATTTTAGAATCCAGGAAGGAAACGGGTATCCAGATTTAAAGCAACATCTCTCCCACTTTTCTTGTGGATTCCCCTCACAGACAAAAAGCATTTAGAGCATGTGCCAAACTCAAGGCTCGGGGGCCAAATCTGGCCCGCTGTAGGTTTTTATGTGGCCCTCTAGACTCCGAATTACATCAGTTTTTCACAAATCTGCAAAATTCACACGGAATCAACAAATCTCCACATTTTGTTCTGCAAATTTTTCTCTAAATTGGTCAAAACGTTGAATTTAAATCACCTGAGTTTACTTAACGTGGCAAGTAACAAAAAGTCACATTTAACATCAAACAGTGCAAATATCATAAAAATTCCTCACAAATGTCTAAATTGATCGCAAGCACATCTATTTATTGATATTTTAACTGTTTAATGGGTTTTATCAAGACATTCTGGCACAACTAGCCCTTTAAGAACGTTCAGATTTTTGATATGGCCCCAAATGAAAGTGAGTTTGACCGACTGACGGCTCCTCAGCCTCCTCACAGGTCGAGGAGAACAGGTGTTTGCCCCCTCCAGGCGGACCTGCACGGACTTCCTCACACATCCGTCTTCAGCCAAATGGCTCGGAGTGGAGGCTTCGCCCTGCCCATCCCTCATCGTCCAGCGTGACCTTGCTCTCCTCCGCGCTGCAGGCAGGGCTGCAGATAAAGACGAGGAGGGAAAAAAAGCTGAAAAACGGCTCTTGGAATCCTAAATATTAGCGGTTGTAAATCAGCCCCCAGTGGCCTATGAATAGCAATTATCTTTTTCACACTAATAAATCCGCCTCTTTGCAGATAAGATGGTTTCCTTCCCTAACCTGCAGTTAAAAAACAGCGCTGGGTATTGAGCAAGCAGAAGATGGGAGGAGAGCAGCAAATAAATGAGAGCTATTCAGCTGTGGATTACACTGCGGGGAAAAAAACAGCCTTTTGTGCTGAGACTGAACAATATATCACATATGACCTGAGAGGGGAAACTGTGTACGATCACAGGACTCAAGGAATTCAGATGATATCAGGAAGCAAACTCTTATCAGCTTTTATCAATACCTGCTAAACACGATTCAGTTCAGCGCACAGCGACTTGATTTCCTGAAAACGTCTCCGAACAGAGGCCTGCGAGGCAGCAGAGGGAACGATAGCGAGGTTACACCAATCTGATACGGACGTTCTTTGATTCTTATCAGCAGTCGAAGTTTAGCCATTAGAGTCTGTCGGCTGCTTAAAGGGAAAGCCGGGTGTTTACAAGCGAGGTTAAAGGGGTGGTGTCATGGAAAAACTGAGCTTAACATCATGTTATAATGTCATTCCCACACCAAAAACATACCTGTAGGGTTGCTTTGATTCTTTCATGCATGTTTGAGAGATTCTTTAATCTCCATGGCAACCAGTCAGCTCCATGGCAACCAGTCAGGGCGGGGCTAAGCCTGGGTGGACTTAGCCCCGCCCTCAAGACGTAGCAGGGTCAGAACTATAGTTTAGTTTTATTTTGTTGTGACTTTTTGTTTGTCTAATTCAGTTAGTTTGTATTAGTTTTTTATGTTTGCTAGTTATTATTAAATATTGTTCAGTTCTAGTCTAGTTATTAGTTATAGTAGTAGCTTTAGTTTCTTTTCATACTTTTGGTTAAATTTTAGGTGCAGAATTAAAAAAAAATTTAAGTATTGTGATTATGTAAATGTCAATAAGGTAATTAATACTATAATTTATAGATAATTATTGTATCTATAATTTCAGTATGTTTTAGTTAGTTTCATAAACATACAATGTAGTTCCAGTTAGTTGTGGTATTAATTGCTGTTTTTCTTTATCTCACTAAATGAAAATGTTTTCAGTTATTTTGTTAGATGAACTTGCTCAGAGCTGCAGCTTTCAAGCTTCGGTGACTCACCCACTCAGCTCCTTCAGACTAGCCAGCAGCAATTAGCAAACCTGGAGGAACTGCTGAGCTCATTATAGGAGCTGCTTCTCAGGGCAACGCTGGTAAAAACGTTAAAGGGTTAATAGAGGAGCCATGCTGAGATTACTACTTAAAGAGACAGAGGCCCAATTTCAAAATTACGAAATCAAATTTGTTTTATGTCGTATTTGGTAAATATTTATTGAATGCTATATATCGTAGCCCAGAGTCAATCAACTGTGTTACTAACATTTTAGTGACACAAACGTAGCACAATTACTTTCTATCAGTTTTGTTTTTTATTAAAGGAAGGGGCAGCTTGTTTGACATCAATTTTGTGTAATTTGAAAAAGGTCACTCTGTTTCCAAGAGTTTGTGCTCTTCCAGTTCCCCTCGCTATCCTCTGCAGGGCCACATAATGCGTCTGGAGCGCCACGCTGACATGCAGCCGTCGCCACCGCAGGGAGTCACTTCCTGTGGACCCCAGCGCTCCGGCGGGATTTAAACGACTTAATGGTCATCATCTAGTTGGGAGAAAAACACAGCAATCAGCAGCTTTTCTCCGTCGTTGAGGCGACTGAACTCCTATTCCAAGTAAGAGACTCGAGTTAACCTCATTAAGCTCGCTCACACACAAGATACATAATTATCCCTGAGAGGATAGCAAGTGCTAATACAAATTAGAAAGATAATTAAGCTACTGAGACTGGCCATTGCATCTCCCAGAGCTTTAGACCTACACAGCCATTATAGTAAATTAGAGCCATTGTTTACAGTCAGAAGCAGAGCCTTTTACCAGTGGCCATGTTTGTCAGACCTGCTGGATAATAACCGCTGGTCCCCACTCAGATATTTCTCAAAGTTTATAAGCAGAATTTCTTATCAGGTCTCACTCCAGCTTGGGAAGAAAAATCCAGAAAGAAACACGTCTGTTTGAGAATGTTAACTGCAAAAACACAAAATATTACAAAGTATTTTCATCTGGTTTCAAGTTCAAATATGTTCGTTTACTCGAAATAAGACAAAACTAACTTACAAGTGAGGTTTGAACAAAATATAGGAGCTTGTTTTAAAGGGGCAGCATTATGTAAAATCAACTTTACATCAATCAAAAACAAACCAGGAGTGTTGCTTTGATTTTTTTATGCATGTTTGAGAAATCCTTTAATCTCCATGGCAACCATTCAGCTGCAAAACGCCTGGGTGGACCTAGCTCCACCTTCGAGACGCTGCTCCTCCCGGACTTAGCTCCTTCAGACTAGCCAGCAGCAATTAGCAAACAGCTGCTGAGCTCATTATAGGAGCTACTTCTCAGTGAAACGCTGGTGAAAACATTAAAGGGTTAATAGAAAAGCCATGTTGTGATGACTTCCTGAAGGTGGAGTTGGAGTTTTTAAAGAGACAGAGGCCCAATTTCAAGGCGTTAAATCACAAAGTCAAATTTGTCTTAAGTCACATTTGATATACATACAGCGTTTATTAACAACCGGAGGTAACACTGTTACATCCTATATAATGGCAAGATGTGCCTGGAAAACATTAATACTACCTGAATACTGATGGAAACTACTTCCACCGGCAGATTATTGTAACATGGTAAAAATAATCTAAAATCAATATTAAGGAGTTATTTATCTAAAACAAGCTCAGAAATATTGCTGAAAAGTTACTTGTAATGTAGTTTAGTCCGGAGGCGGGTAGAGTACTTCAAAATATTACTCAAGTAAGAGTAGCACTACTTCAACATATCTTTACTCAAGTAAAAATAAAAAGTAGCAAGAAATTAAGAGCAAGAGTAAAAAAAATATTTGGTAAAAAGTCTACTCAAGTACTGAGTAACTGATCAAATTATCAATCATTTATTATTTAAAAATTACATCATCAGATGAACCAAAATATAAAGTTAATGTAGAAATTATGACAATAATTCATATAAGTAATGAAAAATTACAAAACAAGGCAAAATAAAATATTTCCAAATCCGTTTCTTTCAATAAAAAACTTATGAAACTTTAACAAAAACTGCAGGTTTGTGTCTGTACAGGTGAATTTTGGTTAAGACACGTTTGATTTTCATTCAGTGGGCAGAAAATCTAGACATTTTTCTCAAGTAAGAGCAGAAATACTTAAAAATAAAACTACTCAAGTAAAAGTAAAAAAGTGCAGCATAGCAAAAATAAATTTTATCAAAAGAGTTACTCCAGAAAATGTAACTGAGTAACTAGTAACTACCCAACTCTAGTTTTGTCTCATTTAGAAACTAAAACAAAAATCCTTGGTGAGATTTTGTGTTTTTGCAGTGTTGCCTTCAGGCGCTCATAAAAATTCAATCTAAATGACAATTCACTTCTAAAGAGGGCAATGTGTCTTGTCTTCTCAGAGGAGGCAGTTTAGTGCCCCGAAAATCTCCCGGCCACTTCAAAAGATACCTTAAATGCCTCCTGAAGCCAGAGGAAACCTCTCCGTCTTTGGCCTTTGCGAGCGCTCAGTCACACAGGAACAATAAATCTGGCTGATTTCTACATTCCTCTTTAGATCATGTGATACCCAAACAGCGGAGGAGAAACTCTCAAACCGCTGCAAACACACGCGGGCCGCGATTAGATCAGGCCCCAACTTTTTTGGGTGAAAATATGTCAAGAGAAAAAGATAAGTACACACAGCTGGATGCGTTTTAGAGAGAGAAAGAGAGAGAGAGAGAGAGAGCAGTTCTTCCCCCCCCCGTTTCTTTTCTTGTCATAGGAAGAGCAGCGAAGCCCCGGATGGAAATGCTGTTGCGTCTGAGCGAGCCGGAGCAATTGTGGGGGAAATTGCTCCAAAAGACTTGAGCTTTTAAAAATGCAGCAAAACAACTGGAGAGAAGTTTCTGGCTGCGTAAAGAGGCGAGTTTTTCCCTTTGGGGCGGGGGAGTGTGGAGAAGAGGAGCGCGCCGCTGGTTGTGTGCCAGCTCTGCCTCCTGTGGTTTCACGCATAACAACCTTGCATGTGCACCGCTCTGAGGAAAGCATTGATTTAAAAGGGTACTTCTTCTCTCCACAGCTTTAGCAAAACAAGCTCCTATGTTTGGATAGACCCTGTAAGCAGCTCACTGACCTGAGCAATGGGTCAGATT